TTACAAAATAAGAACGTGATATCAACGTACATTAGGTTTTTATAATAATGCGTTGGAAAAATACTAAGATATAAAAGATAAATGCTGTTAAAAATACGAGTTAGTAATATTAATAGATAAGTTATGATAAAAATAATATTCAACAAAATATCAGTCTTTATCTAACAATAATGCACTTCACAGATAAATGCCGGGAATCCCTGACCCATCAGTATGCCGGTTCTTATCAGGTAGAATGAAAGGGAAAGCTACCAGTGGTGTAGGTATTCCTTAACTCCGTGCCGAAGTCTGCCGAAATGAAACGAAGTTAGACATGCAAACAATGGTTTATTTTTGCGGAATTTCTTGATTCGATCGTCGCGCTCAAAGCCCGCGATAAAAGCTATGCAATATCTAATATTTACGCCAGCCGAGAACATTTGTGATACCAATTTATTAGAAGCCAGATAAAGCTCTTATAGTTCTTGTATTGCATAAATGTTCCAGTCCGCAGACGTATATTTAACTCCGTTTCATACTAATACGAATAGGGTCGGATAAAACCTTCCATGGCTATAACGCCGTACCGCTGTGCCGGTTGGAGTGGGGGTGTTAAGTTTTTTTCGTTACGGTGTTCGTTCGCCACTCAAAGCCCGCGATAAAAGCTATGCAATAGCTTAAAAAAATTTCTATTTGGAATGTTGGTGTGTTCCTGTAAAATGTTAAGTGATTTCTGATATACTCGGTTCAGTGGGAATAAAAATGCATTAGGTGTGTTTTATTTATCATCCGCTTGTGATTCGGAATTCTCCGTTTTCTCGTTTTAATCCATAGCCCTCAGAAGGTCTAGATACCGCATCGTAAAAACATTTTGACCCCCCATATGATGGGCGCCATGATAAATAAATGTCAATAAATTTTAAGTTGGCACTTCTGACAAGACAGAATCGGCACAAGTTTAGTAATAAGCGTAAGATCGGCGTTCGACGTATATTATCGATTTTATTATCTGTTGTGTTGTTTATTTTGTTCTTCTAGTAAAGGTTTTATTTAAAACATTATTTTTTAGTTTAGTCGTTTAGTGTTTTATTTTAATAAAAAACATTTGTGGTTTGGTGTTAAATTTTTACAGGATTTTCAAAATCTCTTGTTGTTTTGTACGTGAATGTAACAATGCATCCAACGGTAGAAGATACAAGGAAGGAATAACATTTCATGTGTAAGTTTTTAAAAATATTTGTATATTATCAAAATCAAATAATTTGTGTTTTGTTGTAGCATACCAAAAAAATTTAGGAAAGAATAACTGATAGCCATAGGAAGACCATTGAATCATTTTGTGACTTTAGTATAAGCCCAGAAAATTTGGGGATACTAGCTGAAACGGCAAATGTGTTATTGGCTCCTTGTTAGTGACCTATTGTACAATTTTTCCAACACACGTTCCATGATCCTTTGAACTTGGCTGCACCGTACTGATGAAGACCAATAGTCAGAAAAACATGTCGACCGTTACTTCTTTTTTACTTTTTTTTATTCGGAAAATGTCCACTATTACTACCTTGATACAATAATATTAGTTCCGTTCTAAGTAGGTACATATTATAGTTTGAATGTTTTATGCTTTATTTTATTACATGTAATAAATGTTAGGAAATATACTTTTATAGTAAATAAATTGATTAAAGCAATATGTAAGAATAAGTTTATCTAAGGATTGTTAAAGGATTGTTAAAGCAATTTTTCATATCCATTGTTTATTAATTTGTTTCATTTAATTCTTTCTTATTGAGTAAGTTATTTCATATAAATATGCGATACTTGTAAAATGTAATATTTTCTTTTAAATAGGTATATATTATGTTTGTATAAAATATTGTTCAGTTAATAAAAACAGAAATATTTTGTCTTTTATTCAAAAGAAGATTGTAAATTTTTCAAAATATATTTACCTACCCCAAAAAAAGATTAATAAAACCAGTTAGTCATATACACATTTTCTATATATTTTTAGAGGTACTTTTTAAATAACTTTCAATACATTCGAAATCTGTGGTTTTATTAAACTCAATGTAACAAATAATAATAGGTATTCTCAAAAATATTTAAAAATAAAATCGAGATGGGACTCTTGTATAATTTAGTGACTATTCGCCTATGGTTAGTGCACTGCTGTATGTCCCTGGGTTTTCTACATTAGAACAATACTGCTTCTTCACTCTAGCAGTATTTTTTGCATCTCACAAGATTATATTTATTAAAAAACCAAGGAATTGTTTCGGGCCTATTGCTGTGCCCTTTTCCAACATTCCCAAAGTTTTTTTTTTACTTTCTGCTGATTGGATCTCCGATAGCGACAACTTCATTTATTGTTCCACTATATAGTTTTTTATCAAATTTTTAAAATAACTTCTATATATTTATCTTTTGCAACGACTTTGCTTACCTGCTTCATAATCTCTTCCCTATGCCCCAATTTCTCTAACAGGTGAGATCTTATACTCGCTCTATTAAATCAAATTATCATTATAGTTTATTTGAAAATGGTTGGTAGCACAGTTTTTATGGCAAAGGTCCATATTTTTATATAATTTTGCTATTATTAATTTTCAAATAAACTATAGGAATAGGAGTAATCTATTAGTTTTTCTAAAAATACCTTGTTAAGTAAGTATATCTTTCCCTAGTTAAAAAATTCGAGTTTTTATTTTCATAATATAAATAAATGACCGGTTAACAATCTCACTGAATTTCTCTATAATTCTCATAGCAATATGTACACAAAACACTTATCCAATAATATATATAACCATGTAAAAATAACATTTCAAGAACGAGAAAATTTATAAAACCGGTCCTGTCTGAACAGATCTAGGAAAATCAAATAGGTTTGTCAAAGTTTTGTTCTTAATTTGAAATTAGAAATTGTGCGTCTCACTCACTTATAACTAATAACAAAGTGCAGATTATCGGTGTTCACGTATTACAGAACACACAAACTAAAAATCAGTGTAGCCAAAACATAAATTTACCTAACATGGCGACAAGCTTGAATGGGGTCATTTTTTTGTATTGACAGCATACGCCAAGCGGTATCTAGACTTTCTGAGGGCTATGTTTTAATCTAACCACTGATCTGTCAGATCAGTGAATCTAAAATGTTAAAATGACAAAATGACAATACACCTATTGTCACATTTGGTAATGTTATTTCATTGACATTTGATTTTAGTGCTATAAGGGTATCCAAATATGCAATTTTCTCATCTTTTACAACATGGTACACTTCCTCAGGAATTCCTAAGTAAAACCTACTTTTCTTTTCTAACAACCATACTGTTGATGCTTGTCTGTTCAGAGGTATTTCAAATTCATCATAGGTATCAGAAGAATTATACTCGGAAGTATATTTACTGGGGCTACAACTCGATTTTGAGCTTGAAGAGATTGAACTACTTGTTGGAAGTGAGAAAATTGTTGGAACTGGATCTTCTGAATTTGTTATGTCCTCTAATTGACTTCTTCCAGTGCTCGTACTGAACATTTCTTCAATAGAATTTTTTTTTACTTGTCTGGAAATATTATCACTAGCAGAACGCTTTAATTTCAGTAGCAGTTTATTATCCATAGTAATATGTTGAGCCCAGTTGTCTGCATCATTTTGAAACTAAAAAAAGAAATATATACATAAATACTATACCGAGTATTATACCTACTTTATTTTTAAAATACTATATCTATTACCTATTCAAATTTTGAGAGAGTTAAAGTAGCGCTGGTCTTATTGCTATTAAATAAAAATGTTTAAATAATTAAAATTTATTCAGTCGTCGAAAAATATAATAATATAAAAATAAAGGTTGTTTGTGTGGCGTTCGTCGTTGTCTCGTAGTTGTTGATTCTTCTATTATTATTTTTTTTTTTTTGAAGTGAAAACTTCTTTAGCGGCGTTGAGCACTTTTGTGGGATGGGTAAAAACTGTGAAACTCGCGTCAGGACACGTGAGCTGATCGAAAATTCGTAAGACGGTTTGAGAGTAGTGTTGTAACATCGAAATCGATTAATTGAACAATCGATTGTTTTCTTTCGATTGTCGATATTTTTTAATCGATTGTAAGGGTTTGATGCTCTGATGAATTGCCAATGATTTTGAGTGGAGATTTCAACATAAACTTTGCAGACGATAAAAATCAACTATTAATTGAATTTTTAAATAATGAATTTGGTTTAACTATGTCAAATGATCGCAATCTTAGCACAACGAAGTACAAAACTACTATTGATGCGGTCTTTATTAGACATTTAAATAGGTTCGAATCAAAACTGTTCGTTTCTTACTTCAGCTATTATAAACCTATCGTATCAGTTTTAGAGATTGGCGATGATGGTTCTGGTAATAATGATTGTGAAAAAGTCATCGAAATTATGGATGTAAGTTGATTTTTCTGAGAGATAAACTTTTTAATGTAATACAATGTAATTTAATGTAACATAAATTGTAATGTGTGTGTGTATGATAGCGCAATAAATATTGTATTCTACCACATAAATGATAGTACTTTTATATTGATAATAATTCCCTAACTATTCCAAAAAATCAAAAATGCACAACGTTAATATTCAAGTTTTCACTTCTGTCGGTGCAACCCTTTTTTTTTTGTCCCTTTCCTAACCGTAAGGTTCAGAGGGAAAATAGGATGCACAAAGGTTATTGACCATAAATGCATTAAAACATGACGTCAGTTCATGCCATTGCCAATTGACTAACCTCAAAAATGTCGACCTACTCAAATAAAAATGACATTAAAGTCAAACTAAAGGTAAGTGTATGTGGTGATCACAATGTCGCCACAACGGTACTGTAGGAAGGAGAAAATATTGTTCTCCTCGAAACTAAAATCGGCAGTTATTAGCGTTTTCTTACATCTACTATATTATTACCCAAACCCCATGCCAAGTTTTTACTCAAAAAAAAAAAATGTTTTAATCCAAGTAATTTAATTCGCGATTTTTATTTTTAGGATCCCAATTTGTTCTACAACACTTCAATCTATAGTGTGCCGAATATCGGACATTTTTATTGGGTGAATATGACCAATCGGACCGACGTCAAGATAAGTGACCTTTTGTCTCATTCACATCGTAGGGCAGCAGTAAGTAAAATTTAAATAATTATCCAGAGTGAAATTTTGCAGTGGTTTAATCTTGAATAAGGATGAATCTATTTCAAAGTATAGAATTTTAGCAATGTGATGTATAAGGCCCCTGAAAATAAACAATCTCATAGTACGAGGAGCTAAATTTAAATATGGAAAGTACAAAGAAATAAATAATAAAATTGAAATTTATATCTGAGATTTCGAGTTTAATCATACAATCCAGAAAGTAATTTCTCTCAAAGTTTTCATGAGAAATGTCATACGTCAACGTGAAAAAGTATTTTTTATAAAGCCAGGGAAATAAATCAAGTTCTCACTGGCTTTAAAATACTGGGGTGGAATTCCGTTTTGTGTCGAGTAACTCGATCTCGATACGATTCATAATTCGATCGAATTATGAAAAGCAATTCTATCTGTTTTGACTTCGGAAATCTTCGGACATCAAACTCCATAATTGAAATTCCGTTCAACGAAATTCGACAATAAACTCGATAAAATAACTCGATAGCTCTAGAGTAGTCGATTCGATATCAAATCATTAAAGTTGAATTTTTTTGACATTAGGTATGAACCTTTCCTGCAGCAATGTGCCTTTTCTAAATAACCTCTCGTGCATTAAGGGCCTTATTTTCTCTATTAGGTATATACGGGGTCATTATACTATTTCATAGGGACAGTATCTGTATCTTTAACGTGTGAAGAGTGGGTTAACTCATGGCACTTAGGCCTCACTAGGCCCATTGTGCAACCTCCCAATTAGATAGGTACCTACTAGCTCGTGAGCCAGGGACAGTATTGCTATTTTTTAAACGGTAACAAATATAAAAATGGTTGAATTTGACAAAAGTTGCGCAGTTTTGTGCTTATTAAAATGGTGCCAGTAAACATTTGATATCTACAAAGAAATTCAAAATATCTGACAAAAAACGAATGAATGAATTTAAAGAAATTACAATTTTCATTTTTTGTCCGATATTTTAAAACTCCCTCTAGATATCAAAAGTTTCTTGGCACCATTTTAATAAGCACAAAACTGCGTAATTTTTCTCTAGTTTAACCAACCTTCTATCTGTTAGAATAAGAATAAGAGATATTAACACTGTCCCTATGAAATAGTAGGGACTCTGTATACTACTTGAAACATCAATAAAAGGATTTATTAATTACATAAAACGCTATAAAATATAAACTAATAAAGGAAAGTAATCTTTATTCAGCCAAAAAAGCTATCCACAGCGATTTTCAGAGAGTTCGAAAGGATCGCTTCTTTCCCTTAGGTCATTCTTTCTTTAGCACAAAGCACAATAATATTAAATAATAATATTTTTACAATTTACCCCATTACGAGTGATCCCTGCAACTCTGAAAGCATATAGCTGGTATCGGGGAGGGACAACCGTATTATTATTATTATTTGCCATGGCGCTCCAATGGAACTTACAGATGGTGTCATCTAACTTATAGATGAGGATACCCAGAAAAAACCCCAAGCCAAGCATCATCATAAAAAAATAAATTATTAATCTTATGGCTAAACAGGCTAAACCAAATACAATACAATTTAATTGTTGTCGTGGAAGTACGACCATTATTATTTTCCATGGCGCTCCGCGGCAACTTACAGATGTCATTCAAATTATAAATGAGAACACTACGAAAAAACCCCACCCATAAGAATAAAACCTAATAAATAATTCACGTCACGACTAAAGAAATACAATTCAAGTTTTGTTGTTTGACGTTTAAAAGTCTCAGAATAGTTTGAATGCTTCATTATTTTGTCGATTTTTCGAAGATTTCCGAAGTCAAAACAGATCGAGTTATAGAATCGCTTTTTTTAATTCGATCGAATTATGTGTCGAGTTACTCGACACAGAACAGAATGTCACGACTTCTAACGTCAAACAACAAAAATTAAATTGTAATTATTTATTAGTTTTTATGCTTATGTGTGGGGTTTTTCCGGGGTATCCTCATCTATAATTCAAATGATATCTGTAAGTTGCCTCGGAGAGCCATGGAAAATAATAATAGTCATCCCTCACCGGGTACAAACAACTCTGCATTCAGAGTTGCAAGGATCACTCATAATGGGTTAAATTATAAAAATATTATTATTTATTATCATTAGGCTAAAGAAAGGATGAGTTGCAAAAAAGAAACGATCCTTTTGAACTTCCAGAAAATCGTCGTGGAGAACTTTTTCAGCTGAATAAAGAGAACCTATAAATGTTTATATTTTGTATCGTTTTGTATAATAACTAATCCTTTTATTGATATTCCAAGGATATAAAAGACCTCTGTTGCACGATAGGTTATCCAGAAAAGGCATTGCCAGAGATATGGGTATGCCCTGAAAACTAAATTCTTTTCTTCCCTAAAAAATTTAACGATTTGATATCGAATCGACTACTTGTTAAACGGAATTGCTTTTATGGAGTTTGATATCAAATTCGAGTCGAATCGTGAAACGGAATCCCACCCCTGTTTTTATGTTGATGTATGACATTTCTCATGAAAATCTTGAGACAAATCACTTTATCTAGAGTTTGAAAATATCTCCCCAGAAAGAAAAAAACTTTCAACATTTCAAAAAAGAATTTTTCCGTTTATATGCATGCAATTCGTTATCTTATCAATTATGGATGATTGTTTTTAAAATAAATTCAAATATAATAACTTAATAACCTTTGACTTTGACCTTGGTACTAATAGAGTTATTTATGAAATAATATCTGGATGCAAAAAGAAAATAAAATAAATCTAGAGAATGTATCATTCGTTCATTACAAATATGAGTTTAGTGATATGTTTAATGAAGTTAAGAATAAAATAGACCGGTTTGTCTACTTGTTCAGTCTATGAAAATTTTATAAACCATTTCATAATTCTTTTTTTTCCAACAATACCGATGTTACAGCACTTGCAGCCTCCTTTATTATACTCTTCATAGAGTAGTCTGTGAAGAGTAATATGCATTCGCTTCGTCCGTCTGTCCGTCCGATGTCATATTTTTTGTCCGCACGATAAGTTAAAAACGGAAAACGATATCAATTTTAAAATTTCAATAAATAAAAGTGTGGTAATTAAGGGGGATTAAAACATTAAAAAAATTCCTAACTCAAGCTCTATAAGAGGAAGAAGGAAAAATCTGAATAAAAATGGGGGGATAAGGGGGGGTTGAAATATTGAAAAAATCATAACTCGGTAACAAAAAATGATATTGACTTAAAATTTTTAGCAAAAAAACATGCTCCATTTAAAGAAAAAAACCCCTGATTAAAAATGGGTTGTTTAAGGGGTGGGGGAAGATTAAAATTTAAAAATCATAAAACAAAAATGAAAAGCGATATCAACATGAAATATTATTTAAAAATCAAGCTCTACAAGGGAATTAATCATTATTCTGAAAAAAAAAAAAAAAAAAATGTAAGTAAAAATAGGAGCATAAAGGGGGTTGAAATATTGAAAAAAAATCCTAACTCAGCAACAAAAAACGATATCAAATTGGCCGAGGAAAAATCAAGCTTTATAAGGGGAAAAAAATCTGAATAAAAATAAGTGGTTAATATGGTTTAAAAAAATCTCAACTCAAAAACGAAAATAAATATCAACATGAAATTTTTAGTAAAAATCAAGCTTTATAGAGACAAAATCCCTTTAAATAAAAAAAAAATCCTAATAAAAATGGAGGATTTAAAGGGGGGTTAAAGTTAAAAAAAAATCATAACTCAAAAACGAAAAATAACTTGAAATTTTTAGCAAAAATCAAGCTCTATAAGGAGACAAAAATAATTGATTTAAAAAAATTTGTGAACAAAGTGGGGGGGTTAAGGAGGGCTGAAATTAAAAAAAAAAAATAGAAATTAAACTCCAAAAACGATATCAACATGAAATTTTTAGTAAGGGAATGATTCTGAAAAAAATTGAATCAAATTGGAGGATAAGGAGGGCTGAAATATTGAAAAAATCCTAACTTAGAAATAAAAACGATATAAAATTGAAATCTTCAGCAAAGGAGGATGAAGCGTATTGATTCTGAATTTTTTTTATTGAAGTTGTGGTTAAGGGGGTCTGTTAAACTGTGGAGGGTATAATATAGAATATCAAGCATTATATATCTTCATTCTAGTTTCGTATTTAATTTGAATGTGCAAAAATAACGTTAAATTACTGCAAAATTTTCATAGTATTCACTAACGTTTCTACAGGGTGTTTCATAAGGAATAATACATATTTTAACCATGGGTTCAGGACCTCAAACTATTTTGCTAAATAAAATTGGATCAAAAAATGTTACCTACTTCTAAGACACAAGGTGTTACAGTTAAAATTTAAATTTTATTCGTCAGAGGTTCGGGGTCGTTTTTATATTTTATGGAATATTTCCGTTACTTACGTTTGGAGAAAAAAATTGTTCAAATAAAAGTTACTTTTTATATTATTCTCTACAATTTTTGTCATATAGAAAATTTTCCTAAAATGGCCCGTATTCGAAAAAGAAAATTAAATTTTTAAAAACATTATTTAAATAAAAGTTGTTTGTTACATTATTTTCTATAATTCTTGTTCCATACCTAATTTCTGTAAAATGAACTGTATTCGAGATATTTAAGAAAATTTGTAAATTTCGAATTTTGACGAAAAGTCGCAAACGGATAAGGAGAAAAACACCAAATTTTTAACTCAAGCTTTAATCCATCCTGCGGTGACCTGATTAGATTTTGGGCATACTTCTAACATGTGGGGGGTACTTTATAGGGCGAATTTTTCTACTTTATGGAATATATCTGTTATTTACGATTAAAAAAGAAAATTCTTGCTTGTAATATTATTCTCTATAATGTTTGTCCCATACATAATTGTCCTAAAATGGACTGTGTTCGAAGCGGATAAAGTGAAAAACATCAAAAGTTGTTTGCGATAATTCTCTATAATTTTTGCTCTATGCATGATTTAATTCCTCTAAAATGGATCATAATGGAAAATATGAAGAATAGTAAAATTTTAATTTTTCTGTATTTTCGTTGCCAAAGATATGTATAGAAAATGTTTCGTGTAAGATTTTGTGTGTTAAAATGTATGTATTTAGTTCACCCTCTAAACATTTACAGGGGTGATTCAATAGGTTGTATAAAATAACAGGAAAAAGCCTGTAATAACTAGACAGGAAAGTGATGTGTTAGATACATTAGATTTTTTTTTAGTTGCGCCGCTTTTCTTAATAAATGCTTACTTTATTAAATAAGGAACAAAGGAACAAACTTAGTGATTATTTTTTTTTTAGACAGTAAAATTGTCCTTCGACTTTCCATTTTATGGCCACCTAATCAAAAATGTCACTATAGCCACGGGAGGCTTTCTCTATACAGGAGACTACGTACACTCATGGTTAGCGGCGACTCAATACATAGCGCCTCTGATGGCAAACTTCGATACCAGTCTTTCCAACGACAGTTTCATCAAATACGTGGACAATGGTACAGCTTTTACCGTCGAATGGGAAAAAGTGACCTTACAAGACAAACCCGAAGATGGCGAATTCACTTTCCAAGTAACATTGTTTAAGAACGGAGATATCGTATTCGTTTACGAATCTATACCTTTGCTTGTCGATCATATTCAAGAGTTACATCATCCTGTCAAAGTTGGCTTGTCGGATGCGTACATCATGGATCAATTTGTGTTTTGTAAGTATTTTTTATGTTTAAATCAAAATTCCAACTGGCCCCTAGTCCAATTATAAGATATAATTAATTTATTCTATAGTATTACAATTTTTAAATGATGGTGACTCATCGAAGGATTGTGGTCGGCCGGCAACAATGTATTTCTAGAACTACCCAAATCCTCTTATGCAGCGGCGTAACAATGATTCGCGATAAAATGCTAATATTGAATAAGCTTTAATTGACACGATTTTATTGGTTTACGTTAAATATTGTTTAATCTACTTTCTATGAAATGTTTGAAAAAGTTCTGCAATAATAAATCAATAATGAAGAATAAAATGTATTAAATATTTAGTGCTAGACAGGAAAAAAAAAAGTGTATTTAAATGAAAATACAGAACAAAATGTAATTTAAAATATTGATATGAATTAAAAAAGTATGGCCTTCTAATAATTATTAAATTTAAAGTTAAAAAAAATACTTAAATAATTTAGCAATTGTTAGATCATTTATTACATAAGATAAATCAAAAATTAAATTAAAAATAAATATACTTACACGTATCACATATAAATCAGTAATCAAGAATAAAATAAAAAGTATTGATTTATGCTGAAGAGTCCTCAAAATTGGAATCCTCTGAGACATTGAATTACATCACCGCCTTTTCGATTACATTGTCTACCAGCCCGTCCAATCTCCACATTTTGTCTTTTTCCTTGATGACGTGGGTTACGGCATTTGTCCAACCTTCTTTTCGTATTCGTGCCATTCTGATTTCCAGTAAACGTTGGATGTTGCTAATTTTAAATGTCACGTTTTCATGAGCTACGTAACCCTTTACTTGAGCTCAAATAAGTTCTATCGGATTCAATTCGCAATAGTACGGAGGAAGTCTTAAAACGGTTATACCTTGAGCAAGAGCCAATATGTATCTACAACATGCTGACGATATCTGTCTCGATGCTGTTTAACCATGTCCTCAGAAAAGGGAATTACCTTTTTTCGTAAATAACCATGCATCACCGCTTTTTTAGTGGCCATAATGGGTAGACGTTCCACTAAGCGGCTGTGATAAGAAGCGTTATCAAGCACTATCACTGAATTTGGCTAGATCCGTGAAAGTAGGGTTTCAAACTAACCTTCAAAGCGTCGTTTAAAAAACCACTTTCACTACCTATATGGGTGATAATTAGTCGTTGCCCTTTTCCAGTTGGTCCTCGTAATTCTGTTGATAAACCTTCCACATATGCTTGTTGATAACTTAACATAGTATCATGCCAGATCGTAGATACTGTGTGACCAGTATTCACCAATGTTTCATCCAGATAATGTATTGTCTTGTTTGCCGAACGATGTTCCCTTATAAAGCAAAGATGTTTTCGTCGCCATGAAACTATCTCTTCTTTCCATTAAAACAGAGTTACGAGATCGTCTTGCATATTGAAACTTTAACTCGTGTACTATTTTTCTTAATGTCTCTAAAGAATTAATAGTTGTGCGTACCATATTTTTCTGGTGCTCGTCCAATTTAATTTTTTCGACCACGACAATTTATTTTTGGAGCTTGCACAGTCTCAGTTACCTTCTTTTCACGTACAATGCGTTCAATTGTCGCCACGGATACTCGCGTTAAAAATGAACAGCGGTCCAATGTTTGCATTATCGGAAGTGTATTCATTAAATCTTCATATACGCTACAGACCATCTGTTTTAAATCGTTTGAAAGAATTTTTCGCTTTCGTTGTGAATTACTTGGACCCGCTACTGCATCCATCTTAATGCTGTTAAGATAAAAACCATCAATCATATACATGCTACCGTTAATCCACTTAAACCTAGAGAAAAAAAAATTGTCAACAGGACTTTTATATAAAACGTAGTGCTTTAAAATTTAAAACTCAAATACATATATTTGTCTGAATCTTAATCATTCTACTTAAATGTTTGAAGCAATATTATATATAGAAAATTCTGATCAATAAATAAAAAACAGATTCTTTTATATATTTTATCTATACAATTCTAGGGTGCTAATAGTTTGTATTTTTTTTTTTAATTGAAACGAATTGTAACAATAGTTTAGGAATAAATTATTGTTGCTATTGTAATTTTTTGTTTTTCTCCAGTTTTCAGCATATTTTTTAATCGTAACTATATATTTTTTAATTTTATCAAAAACTACATTGACAAACGAAAAAAAAAATGAATACCTGAAGAACGTTGTACGATAATTTTTCACCATAGCATTTCTTTAAAAAAAAGTGTTTTGAATAGAAAAAAAAAAAAAAAATTAATATCTCGAAATAGTTTGAATTTTTTTACTTTTTTTTTGCTTATTTAAGACACAAAGGTATAATTTCACCAAATTTTATTAAAATTAAATTATTTTTATAGAAATAAAAAAAAAATCTAAAAAAATGGCAAATTAGATGATTAAAATATAGATTATATACCAATAATATCATTAAGGAATTAATAACAAAAAAAGTCATTTTATAATGAGCGTATAAAGAACTTAAGAAAATTTAGTAGTAATTAAAACATAAAAGGGTTATGTTTCATTTTAAGCCGTTTTAACTCGAATTTATTAGAATGATATGATAAAAAAATAAACTACTACAACTAAATGGATTGTTAACCTTCCCAGTAGACCTTCTTAGTATTGACGAGTTTATCGCTGATTCAAAGTATTTACTTCACTTGGCTATATATTATAATATTTGTCGAAGAGTAAATATTATGGAATAATCTCACTTTTTAAATTTCCTTGTTGACGAAGCATAAACAATGAAATGATCCCGGTAAGTTGAGCTCTGAAAATCATTGTTGCCGGTTGACCACAGTTCAATCCGTAAGATGAGTCACCATCATTTAAAAATTGTTCGAGTATATACAAGTGATTTATATAAAACCTTATTTGTAATTCAGAATATAATGGATCAATTTATCGAATGCTTTGGTGTAAGGGCAAGTCTTTTCATCTCTGAGTAAAATTGAAAGTAACTACTTGCTAATTCAACTATATGTCTATTGTTTGTTAATCTGTCAAGTACACTTTACTCAGAGGTGAAAGGATCGGCCCTAATTATGATTAACTTTGGGCACTGTAGTATTAAATTACAATATTCTCAATTTGATGCTGATTTCTTTTTAATTTTCAGTAATTCGCAGAAAAACAATTTACGAATACGACAGAGTCAATTTTAACAAAACATTTATTAAGAACTGGACAACTATTGTATTAAAGGCGCTTCCTACTTGTTTGGATGCTCACGATTGTGACTCGTGTTTGTCAAGAAATCTAAAGTTCCAGGTTAGTAATGTTTATTCAGATTCATTCAAATTTCCTTTGTATCATAAAGAAAACCACGAATTATTTATATATATTTTTTTGCAGTGTTTCTGGTGTCCGGCTATGGGAAAGTGCTCGCAAGGCTTTGATAGACATCGGCAAAATTGGTTAGCCCACGGTTGCGACAAAACCAGCTTCTCTAACCTCACTCATTGCTCAGCATCTTCCGCTTTACATACGGAAGAATATTCAAATTTCCTCGATCACAACTTAGTCGAAGATCAACCGAAAGCTCTCGCGGGCATGGTGGACGCGACGAGCATGAAACAAGATGGCGGTTTCTCGGGATTACTCGCCATTTTGTTTTTGATAGGAATGATATCTGGTTTGACTTTGTGGGTGTTTTATGCTTACAGGAATCCTCATACTACCAGCGGACAAATTTTGATAAGGGTATGTTAAATATAATATTATGTTTAAATCATAGGTTGATTTTAAAATGTGAACATTGTAAAGTGAGTTAAACATTGTTAGTAGATGAAGAGTAATTTTTTTATATCATTGCCTAAGATAAAAAGTAATAATTGTTGGACTAGTCCGATGGACGTGTCCGCGAAAATAGTGAAAAGTAGTAAACTTTGAGCATAGAAGAATGTTTCTTCATCCTAGATGTATTTTCAAAAACACTTGGGGAACAATATTTACATTTGTATTTTCGTTTTTTTTTTTAATACTTCCAAACTTTTTTCACGTTTTATTTTAATAAGATTTGAAACGAAAATTCGAAAACACCGTTAAGACATATCTTGTTTTTGCTTTTCTTTCTCTGTTTTTTCTTTTCTTTTTTTTCTTTCTCTGTTTTTTCTTTTCTTTTTTTTCTTTCTCTGTTTTTTCTTTTCTTTTTTTTCTTTCTCTGTTTTTCTCTTTCTTTTTTTTATCTTTTTTTTCTATTGTTTACGAAGTAGTTAAGCTACTCTTGCGAATGTCTGAACATTGGTCATTATTCACTATAAAGTACTCTAAAACTATATAGGTACAGTGTGATAGACCGCCTATTGTAAGATCTACAGTAAGTAAATTGGTTACCAAATTTAACGAAACGGGACCCGTCCATGATTTGCCTCGGCAAGGTCGGCCTCCAGTAAATGATGAAACCAGATTAAATATGTTACTAGAAGCTGAAGAAAATCCTCACCGCAGGGCAGCTATCCCTAAATAATAATGTGGATCACTCTTTTGGCGTGGGGTAACTATCATCCTCACAAGGGTTAATTGATTCACGAATTAAACGGGGATGATCCAGACCGCCGCCTGCATATTTGTGAAGAACTAATGTTACGCTGCGATGGAGGCTCCAATTTTTTAAATAATATCCTCTTTTCTGACGAAGCCACTTTAGGCCTGAATGGGACATTACATCGTCATAACTGCAAGTATTGGTCAAGAGAAAATCCTTACTGGACTCGAGACTTGCGGTTTGAATTAGTTCCAGCTCTGCCAGTTATGTTTCCAAATGATCACAAAGCATCAGGATATTTGGTTTCAACAAGATGGGCCGCCTCCCCACTTTGGAATAACCGTCCGTCAATATCTTGACGCCACATTTCCCGGTAGGTGGATAGGAGTGACCATCACGTTCCCCTGACCTGACTCCCTTAGATTTTTTTCTGTGGTGTATTTTAATAGGCCAAATAATTTAGATGAGCTACGGTAAAGAATTCGCACTGAAGTGTAGCACATTACACCTGAAGTCCTTGAGCGAAGTGTACAAAGTGTTTACATTCGTATTGGTCAGTGCCAAATTGTTGAAGGAGAGCAATTTGAACATTTACGCTAAATTTTTAATTGTTTGTATGTGGAAAATGTATGTATTTAGTGCATCACCTAAACACTTACAGGGTGATACAATAGGTTGTATATAACCGAAAAAGCATATAACTTTAGGTAAAACAGGAAAGTCATGTGTTGGACGTATCAGATTTTTTACTATTTAGGATTTTCGAATGTTCAAATCAGTATCCACTCTTTTTGCATAATTCTATGGTTAAAAAAAAAATATGACTATTATTGTTATTTACTATCCCCGCCCTGTTATCTGTAGTAAAAAGTATTGGGAAGTGGTCGCTATTACCGGAATCAGAAGGCTTGCTCTCCAGTTACACTCAAGTCCCATTGGTGTAGAGAAGAAAGTCCGTTGATTTGTCCCGGAAAATTGATTCTAGTAACTGGCCCATCATTTAAATATGTAAAATCTTTTTCTACAATAATATTTCCATTGTGATTATTGTTTGGAAGTATCTAGGGTTCCCCGAGAGTCGAATTTGTGTCTTTTTATTAAAGATTTTCGTGAAACAATTATTACTATCAAATGACAAAAGTTTATGATGCTAATAACTGTTTTTTACAAAACAACAATTAGATGATTTCTATTTATTTTGTTTGCAGTATCGTCCGAGTCAGTGGAGATGGAGAAGAGGCGAAGCAAGATACACCGCCGCCACTATTCACATGTGATGTAACCAATAATTTAGATTTTTTAACATATCAAACCATCATAAGGCAAATAAGAGTTCTCTAAAAAAAAATGAAAAATAATCGCGCATGAACGAAACATTTTTATCAATTTTTTTAGAGAACCCGTGTTTTATCTAGAGTTGTGCAACAATATTTCTGTGATAATTAAGAAAGGATACAATATAACATGTTAGAGGATGTTTAAAAGACGATCAAATTCTATTTGAAATTTTTGTTTATAAACTGTAGTAATTGTTCATATATTGTTTATTTTATTTAAATATAATTTAACATAATTTTTCTCTTTACAGTGATACACAAAGCCTTTAACACTACTAATTAAAAATCATTTGAATTGTACAGGATGATTCAAATTTAAGAATTTGTTTTTTTTTTTAAATGTATTTGATTACACGGAAAAAAACAGTAAAGTTTCTGCAATGTAACCTATATGTAATTTTCGTTCTTGAAATTTATGAATGATTCTTAATTCATGATTATTTAAAACACATCTACAATCGCCTGCGATATGTGCAGCCAAGATATTAAAGTATCGAATAAAATGATAGACATTTCAATTATCTTTCATTCCACATAAATAGATGTTTTTTTGTTTTTAGGAGAAAGGTCATACACAAATGTTACTTTATTTTTTCTATAGAATCAAAGGACACTATCAAAATAACTTTTGGAACATAATTGTTTTTAATTTGTAGTATTAATGGACCTGTATATATCCGTGTTAAGATTTTTTTTAAATGTTAGTTTTCTTTACATTTTTGTAAACATTATGTCTCCGATTTTTATCATTTTTATAATTTTAAATGTATTTATTTTAGATATGTTTCATTTATTTACAAAAAAACAAAAATAGTGTTTGAGAATCTGTTGAACAATGTTTTCTAAAAAAATAGGGTGTTATTAATTGACGATAATAATTACTATGGCCTTCCATAGTGCCTTGAAGACGATATTTTTATATACATATTTGAGAGATATATGTTGTTTCAAGTGTATATATATAATAAACGATAAATACTGTTTTATTTTGTACATTGTTTTTATCACGTTCCTAAATAATTGTTAAATATGCCGACAAAAACAAACATTTTGATCATTTTCAATGTCCAAGAAAGTATTTAGTAGTAAATTTAAAATATTTTGCTAAAATTGAATTTTGCTTTAGTTTTCTGTGGAAATGTTCATATTTGCGTTCTTGTTATTAGTTACGTTGGTTCCTCCACAAATAAATATTAATAAATAATCAATTGTGTTTTGTTCTTGCTTTAGAAGTAGAGGTAAAATCCGAGGCTTTATCTACTATAATTTGTACAACCTATTATATCACCCCTGTAAATGTTTAGAGAATAAACTAAATATACAGTAGAGCGTCGATAATCCGGATTATCAAAATGTCTGAATTACAGTTACAGAATACTGTACAGTTTATATATTTTTTAGCGGTTAAGGCCAGCCTGCCGCCCAGCTTGTATGTATTTACTTCAACTTTTATTTCACTGGAATTGAATCCGGATTTTTGACCTCCGGATTATCGACGCTTTGTTTATTTCAAGAATACATTACAGATGCCTTTTATATCGGCTGGACCTTCCTCACAGCATGAATATTATCAGTACACGTTTGCTATTTTTTTCATAAGTGGAATGGTGGTGAAAAAATGATCAAAATAGACACAATTAGCAGATTAGCAAGCAATTTCAAAACTACTCGTTCTCCCAGTGTGGCACACTTAGCATCCTGCTTTTTTCCTTGGTGTATATCGAATGCATACAAGAAGCCTGTCTTGGAACATGCCAAAACTCATACCTTGATACCCTTTTTTATGGGTTTCGTCTGCACGTATTGTTTTAGGCCAGTACGGCCCACGAAACCAACCATACTCTCATCAACGGCTACGTTTCTACCAGGTGTAAAAGAAAGAATAAACTAGGTGTGTGAGCAATGGACGAATTTTGTAGTTTTGTCATAGTGAAGCGTTCCCAGGGCAGGCATCGTCTGGCTATTGTTTATATCTAAGCAACGCAGTATTTTTAAAAATCTTTTGATGGGAATAACTTCTGTTATTGTTTCATTATGAAAATTACGATCACGTGACCACTGTAAGGCAAGATAATAGGATTTTTAGATTGAAGTTTAAGAGAAAAATGTTTTTGTTAAATACTTGACTATCATTTCAACTAGGAAGAAGTGGATTGCATCATTAAATTTCTCTTTAAAAGCTCTACAAAATGGTTTTTAAAAAGTCACCGCTGAGTTATTTGTAAGGCTAGAAAATAAGCTTTTCAGATCAAATTTGGGGGAATTTTAACAGAAATAAGTGTTTTTGTTAAATAACTTGACTATCGTTTAAACTAGGAAGAAGTGGTTTGCATCATTAAATTCCTCTTTAAATTCTCTCATTCCACTCACTGTCACTCCACTGAAAGTTATTCAACAGTTTTTGTTTATTCTATTACTTTCACAGGTGAGGGTAATTATTGTATGGGTCAGACTGGCTCTAAAAAGCCGAAAAACAAGTTTTGGGAAAAAATTGTGTGTCTATGTCTACCTGTTACTATGCCTAACTCACTAAATGGTTTAAGGTATCGATTTTACATTTATATATTCCAGAAAGCTCTAAAATAGTTTTTTTTATTTCTCAGTAACAAACTCATAAGAGTAATTTAAACACATGCCTTGCCTTTGTGCTTATTTCATGAAACCACAATATTTTAATTTAGGCAGGTGTTGTTACACTCAATTCCACAGTTCTTCAGCCAAGGGGTTGTTTGTGTAGCTTCATATTTTTACACAATATACCTACTGATGCTTTGTGAAATGACTAGGATCTTCATGAAAAGATAAATTTCACTATAAACCTATGATATATACAATATTTTGTCATGCTGAGAGTAAATAAAATTCACTTATTTTACTTATATTTTCATTTTGAAGATCTTATTTTTCAAAGAGATTACTCTATTTTGTTTATTATATTTTACAATTTAATTTTTAGTGTTTTTATTAATTTATTCATATTACACACAAATAGTTTATTTGCAATGACATACTGGAAACTTAATATTGACAAAAGTTTTCTAAAATGACATCTTTCTTTCAGGGCTTTGTTGACTAAATACCTTCACAACTTAATACTGTCACGACCCCCTTTTCTATGGGTCGAAAGAATTATTTAATGTTATTAATTCGTGCTACCTTTCTTTATGAAATAAAAGTCGAGTTGAAATATAACAATTTTATTAATCAATAAATAATTAATATTCAAAAATGTATAACAGATAATATTAATAATACAATATGGGCCTTACCATGGGCTAAACATCTAAATGGCGACGAGGGCACGTCACGTTACTTCTTCGCTGGGATGAGAGACAATGATGAGACTCAAACTAAGAGTACCGGATGAGACTCCGGCCAAGAGTCTCGGATGAGACCCCGACCAAGAGTGCCCATTGTTGACCTAGCCGATTTTTATATTAATCGGTTAAGGTCAGTACGTGTCTAGTTTAATGTTATATTTACATTTATTAAGGACGTACTTATGTATTGCATCTAATGTTTATTAAAATATTATGCTAAATTATTTAACTTAGCGAATGTATATTAAAACAGAAAATGTATATTTTATATATAGGGTGATATTTGTTTAGCGTGACAATACTCCTTCGATAGTTTCATATGATTTCGGAAGATATAATTTGGGCATAGAATAATACGATTACATATTATAACTAAACATTATACTTTATTCAATGCTATACATACATAAATTGAATTAGATTATCCAAACTCTTATCATTCTGTGTGTTCTGTTAAAGTCAACTAAATCTAGAAAATATCCAACCTGGTATTCTCATGATTTGATACAATATGTTAATCCATGAATCCTTCGAAATAAAGATGAGATGCTTAATTTATATTTGCATGTGAGCAAAATAATGAGAGACTAGTGAATCGACTGCCTGTCTTGACATGATTGGACAGATGTATAAATTTCTACCACACTGTTAACACATGTACTGGTACTGCTTTTAGCAATTGTTCACAAATCACTTTTTGCTCCATATACACTGCTTTATCAATCACTGATATATTATAATTCCCACAAAGAATGTGATAGCATTGATCCATCTAAGAAAAGTAGCAGCACAAGATGCAGAGATAATGTATCCAGTTTTTTTCTAGTAAAATCTGAAAAATAAGTAATATTTTTTATTTACTTTAAAGTGTCAAAATGAAGTAGGTAAATGTCTAGATTGAGCTCTTCTCAATTATGGAAAACTAATTAAACTTACTTGTAGTTATTTGCTATATCATCTTGGTGTACATTAATGACAAATATTTTTTTAAATAAAAATGCCGTTTTCTTCAATTAATATAATTTTTACGGGAAAGGAAAGCTAATAGGGGTTCTGGATGGGTAAAATACTGTAAATCTTAAAATATTGTTAGAATTAGAAATAAATTGCCTTACTTTTGATAATAAATGATTACCTATTGGATAGTACCTACCTAAATTTTTTTGTGCAACTTGGCAAAAAGTAAAACTAGCATCTCTGAGCTATGATTTGAGACAATTGTGCAATATTTTTATTTAAAAAAATTGTTATTATTAATTTGCACAAGATATGGAACTAAGATTTTTTTTGTTTACAGTGATACCTACAAGTAGGTATGCTCAGTTTTTTCATAAGCGAAAAGAGCTTAAACAAGACTATGAATCAAATTGATAAAACCACTTAAATAGGTACTTTATCTCATTGGTGTCTCTCAACAAGCTGCATTTTTAACATGGTGGATTTTCACCATTTCTAATCATTTTGTTGTTTGTTGTTGTTTCCAAAAAAGGTATTACCCCAGTATAAAGAACAATACAGTAGCGACAGATTGCGTCGGCTTCTTTGATGTCGGGGTGGTCAGATTTTCAATGACAGTTGACGTTTTTGTCGCTTATTTCTACACGGAGAAAAGTAAACTCTAAAATTGCAAATTAGCGATGTACACTTAGAAAAAAATTAAAACATGTACATATAACATTTTAATGTATTCTAGGCAAATAAATTAATCAAAACATTGTGTAACTTAAATAAATGGGTTCCGGTGAAAATCTAGATGTGCCAATTTTAAAATTTTATCATTAGATTAAAATAAATTACTTTTGTATGCCATTCATTGTATGAAATGTGTTAAACATTTTGGTTTCTTCCTGGAACTAATAAATTAACTCAGCACCTTATTTTTTTATTTAAAATGAGGTTATGTAGTTATCTTTTTAGAAGTGAAACAACATATAACAATAATATTTATTAAAACACACAATTACAAATTAGTAAGTTTTTAATGAATTTACAATACAAGAATTATTTCATTTCAATTTTTGTTCCTACGTACCAATTTTTGACTTCAGATGAGTTTTAGCAAATGCCTGTTGTAAGTCACCCGTTAAGCACAATGCTGCCCAATTGCTTATATTACCTATGTATATAATTAAATACTATTAACGTCACATCATAAAAATTAGATATTTATATTTAACGATTTTATGGTTTAAAATTTGTATGGGAAAGGTTATCTGCAGCAGAATTTAAATATTTAATGGCTAGAAGAATCAACATAGTGACTATCTAGAAAAATTTGTTGGGTCCATTAGGCAACAGGGTGGGAATTTAATTAATCCAACACCTGTACAATTCGAAAGGGCATTTAAAAAACTTTTTTGTCAAAATTATCTTCATTGCAATTCCATGAATTGTAATGAAGACCTGGACAAGCACTTGCTACAATTAGATGTAAAAAATATTGTCTCTCTGTATCCTGAAATAAATAAAAACACTCGAGAAGCTGTTTTTCTTCCTAATTACAGCTGCAGGACAGAAGATATAATAGTTCAAAATCCATTTAAATATGTTTGTGGCTATTTGATCAAAAAAGCTTTAGGCATACATGGATGTGATACATTTATTAAATTTTCAAAAGAATGTGAAGATTTGGATAGTTCACAGATTTTAACATATGATTGCAAATAAAGCACTTATGGAGGCCTAAAAACTCCAAATGAAAAGTTTATTATCTATATATTTAAATTATAAAAAAATGTTATATCTATTTTTAGCAATACCTGTGTAATGTCTGGTATATCGCATAGCTTTTTTTGATATTATGAAAGAAATAGAATTTAATCATCCTTGTGCTAATTTTCCTAACGTACTTATTCCCTTACAAGTATTTGAAATTATTATCATTTTTGTTGCAAATGGGTAATTTAGTTATAGAGTGTTGCATTAAAACTATACTATTGAAAAACAAACATTAAAGAATGTTCCATTATTTATCAAAAAGATTAAGACATGTTTGTTATTTATAAAGGTCTATGCCCACTATACCCTACCATACTATGACCATGCCCGGACCTGATTTTTTTTTGTATATATTCAAATGAGGATGGTGTTG